TACCGTTCGGGACTTTGGAGTGTTCCCTAGCTGGCGGTTCGCATGGTTTTACTATACACGCTACCAGCCTACATTATTGCGAACGGGGAGCATTCACTAAACGGCGGTTTGTGCCTTTATTACTGGAGGTACCGTAACAACTGGTGGCAAGCGACGGGATGATCCTCAATGCCCAAAGAGACCACTACAACCAGGACTAAATGGAATTACAATACCAAAACCTGAGGAGAGCTACCCTAAAGGATTTATTGGAGCAAAGAGGGGGACAAGCCAGTAACCTCAGGAAGAGGGATATTATTGCGTTATTGCTGGAAATGGATGGAGTACCAGCGGCAGAGGGAACCAATGGACCCAGTGCAGCTGACAGAACCCCCGAGGAGGCAAGCTTTGACCGGGCGGTAAGAATCAGGCTGGCACATTATGGTCCCAACCCGACTACAGAGACCATTGACCGGGTCATGGCAGCTGTGGAGGCCAACCTGCTTCGCCAAAGCGGTGCTGCAGCAGCCCCAGTCACAGCAAACCCGGGAGATAGGAAAAAGGTACCATTTACTGCGTTTAAAGCCTTCAGTGAAACAGAAGGAGAGATTGATGGGTACCTTGCTGATTTTGAGCGGCAATGTGCCCTGCACAAGGTACCCCTGGAAGACTGGGTTACTATATTGTCCGGCAAGTTATCAGGCCGGGCCAGCGAGGCTTTTCGGGCCATTCCTGATGAGGAGATTGGGGATTATGTGGCCGTCAGGGAAGCTTTACTCTCCCGGTATGCCGTTACACCTGAGGCGTACCGGAGGAGGTTCCGAGACACTGTCAAGACCTCTGGGGACTCATACGTGGAATGGGCATGTAAGGTGCATCGCACAGCCGCCCACTGGATGGCGGGGTGCCAGGCTGTGTCCGGAGAAGAGGTGCTGCAGATGTTTCTGTTGGAACATTGTTTTGATAAATTGCCAGCAGGGGTCAGGGAGTGGGTAAGGGACCGTAAACCCTCCACTCTGCACGAAGCAGCTCGCCTGGCGGATGAGTATACTGACGCCCGCAAACTGGACAGTCTCATCAGCAAGGCTCCCGCCAGAGTGGAGTACAGGCCAACAGCCCCACCAGCAGCCAACCTATACCAGCCTCCCATGCATCGCCCAGCAGCACCTCCTCCATCTGCCCCGTACCAACAGCCACCTCGGTTCAATTAACGGGAGTATGCCCAACCCATTCGGTGCTACCTGTGCAAGCAACTAGGGCACAAGCGACCCGAATGCCCGATGAACAGCGCCAACCAGAACCAGTCCTGGAGGAGACCAGCCGGCGGCAATCCACGACCTCCCACCCCAGCCGCTCACTGTGTAGAGGAAGAGGAGTGCTGGGGCATCCTGCATGAGGCAGACCCCGTTCAGGCTGCCCACCGGGATAACAGGCAGCACCACCGACAGTGTGTAAAAGTCAACGGGAAGGAGGTCAGTGGTCTACGGGATACCGGGGCAACCATGACTTTGCTCCAGAAGCACCTGGTATCCGAAGCCCAACATACAGGGGACACGGTCGCAGTACGAGTAGCCGGGGGTGCCGTGTTTCGTCTGCCCGTTGCCCGGGTACATTTGGATTGGGGAGTGGGCGCCAGACATGTGAATGTGGGGGTCATGAAGGACTTACCAGCGGATGTTCTCCTTGGCAATGACTTGGCGCCCCTTGTTTCCGCCTACGCTCCCATGGGTCCTGCTGAAGTGGATGCTGTCACGACCCGTGCCCAGACCCGTGCCGCTGAGACCGGCCCACCTGCTGCTGAGACCCAGGTAAGACTCTCTCCCCCGACTTGTACCTTAGACCAGGCCCCTTTAGGTTGGGATACCCCAGAGATGTACGGGAAGGAAACCAGGGAAGACCCGACGCTAGCCAAGTACAGGGCCAGGGCCGATTCTGGGGGAGAAGGAGTAGATGGGGAGCACTACGAGTGGGTGGGGGATAGACTATACAGGATCCCGAAACCGTCCCAGAAGCCGAGTACCCCTCCGCAGAATCGACAGCTAGTGGTGCCTGCAAAATACCGGCAGGAGATTCTGCGGATTGGGCATGATGTGCCATTAGCAGGCCATCTAGGTTCCCGCCGCACAGCTCATAGGATCACACAAAATTTCTTCTGGCCCAATTTTAACCGAGATGTGTGGGTTTACTGTAGCACGTGTGACACTTGTCAACGGGTAGGTAAGCGGGGGGATCACCCAAAAGCTAGGCTTCAGTCGATGCCTATCATTGGAGAACCCTTTTCCCGCATAGCCGTTGACATTGTGGGTCCACTGGCCAGGGCTAGCCCATCAGGTAAGAAGTATATTCTCACCGTGGTGGACTATGCCACACGTTATCCAGAGGCAGTAGCGCTGTCTAATATAGAGGCAGAGACGGTTGCTGATGCCCTGGTTAAAATCTTCACTAGGGTCGGGTTCCCTCAGGAGATTCTCTCCGATCAGGGAACCCAGTTCACCGCTGTGCTTACCCAGCAGCTGTGGAAGGTGTGCGGTATTAAACCTCTGCTTAGCTCACCGTATCACCCACAGACTAACGGTCTCTGCGAGCGATTTAATGGCACCCTCAAACAGATGTTGAGGACCTTTACTGACACTTGCAGAGATTGGGAGCGATTCCTGCCTCATCTGCTATTTGCATACAGAGAGGTGCCCCAGGAATCTACTGGGTTCTCCCCCTTTGAGTTACTCTATGGGAGAAGGGTCCGTGGACCCCTAGATCTCATTAGAGGACACTGGGAGGGGGAGACAGAGCAAGAAGGGACTCCCATAGTACCATATGTCCTGGAACTCCGGGACCGCATGGAGAAACTATCCCTGATGGTCAGGGAGAATCTCCAGGCGGCCCAGGGGAGACAGAAACGGTGGTACGATCGGGGTGCCCGACAGCGGGTCTTCCAGGTTGGGCAGAAGGTTCTGGTACTCAAGCCTGTGAAGACAAACAAGATGCAAGCATCTTGGCAGGGCCCCTATAAAGTGTTAGCTCAGGTGTGTGATACTACCTACCTTATAGCCAGCTGTTCAGATGAAAGGATTCAGCGATCCTTCCATGTGAATATGCTGAAGGAGTATCAGGAACGACCAGAGGATGTTGCGGCAGTATGTGCCCCAGCTACTGACGACTCCGAGAACTTACCTTTACCTGACCTGTTAGAAAGGGATCCCCAGACAGACCTTACTACTCTTGTACAGCTGGGGGACCGGCTAAACCCGGCGGAGAAGGTACAGGCGAGACAGTTACTGTGGGAGAAGCAGGCGACGTTCTCCCAAGAACCCGGGTACACTACCCTAGCTGTACACAAGCTCGAGACACCGGGACAGAACCCCCTACGACAACCCCCATACCGTATCCCTGAAGCAGTCCGAGAAGGAATGCGGACGGAGATACAGGAGATGACCAGGCTGGGGGTTATCGAACACTCAGACAGTCCTTGGGCCTCGCCTGTAGTTCTGGTGCCTAAGAAAGATGGGACCACCCGGTTCTGTGTGGACTACAGGCGGCTCAACGAGCGGACCACCACTGACGCCTACCCTATGCCCCGGGTAGACGAGTTATTAGACCGCATTGCCAGGGGGCGCTACTTGACCACCATTGACCTGTGTAAAGGTTATTGGCAGATCCCCCTGGCCGAGGATGCTATCCCTAAGTCGGCATTCGTCACCCCATTTGGCCTGTACCAGTTTAAGGTTATGCCATTTGGGATGAAGAATGCTCCGGCTACGTTCCAGCGTATGGTGGATAGGCTCCTCGATGGCTTCCAGGATTTTGCATGTGCATACCTGGATGACATTGCGGTCTACAGTGAGTCCTGGGAAGACCATTTAGTACACGTGGGGGTGGTGCTGGACAAGATTCGGGCCGCAGGCCTGACCTTGAAGCCAGACAAGTGCCATCTAGGCATGGCAGAAGTACAGTACTTGGGTCACAGAGTAGGCTGTGGGAGCCAGAGACCGGAGCCAGCCAAGGTAGAGGCTGTAGCTAACTGGCCCACACCTATCACCAAGACCCAAGTGCTGGCCTTCTTGGGGACGGCAGGGTATTACCGACGTTTTGTCCCTGACTACAGTACGGTTGCTAAGCCCTTGACTGACCTGACTAAGAAGAATTTGCCTAAGCAGGTCCTGTGGTCTCCAGCTTGTGAAGCCGCGTTTCAAGCACTTAAGCAGGCTCTTGTTAATGCTCCTGTCCTGGCTGCCCCAGTCCCTAACAAACGTTTTCTTGTTCATACAGATGCTTCCATGTATGGACTGGGGGCTGTGCTAAGCCAGGTCGGGGAAGATGGAGGAGAGCACCCTGTCGCATACTTAAGCAGAAAGTTACTACCCCGGGAAGTAAGTTATGCGGCAGTGGAGAAAGAGTGTTTAGCCCTGGTCTGGGCACTGAAGAAATTGAGCCCTTATTTGTATGGACAGGAATTTTCCCTTATTACGGACCATAACCCCCTTGTCTGGCTTAACCGGGTCTCAGGAGACAATGGCAGACTGCTGAGGTGGAGTCTGGCACTACAGCCTTACAACTTCACCATCAGCTACCGACCCGGTAAGCAGAATGGGAACGCGGATGGGTTGTCCCGGCAAACAGACGTCCCTACTTCTTCCCAGTCCGGTCATCCCCAAGTTGACCCGCCAAAGGGTCAAGCCGGGTCTGCCGGAGTGTTCCACAAGGGGGGAGCCGTGTGACAGACCCATCTGTCTGGATTACAAATGCTTTGTTCGCCTGTTTTGCCGGTTACATGAATTTCCCCATTCGTATGCTTTATTCAAGGGAATGTCGGTTTTTGTCGAACGGAACTACCGAACGGACGGCCACCCAGAAGAGAAGTGTGCTGCTGGTTAACCTATTGATCCCAATTAGAACGTTGCGGTTAACCACAGACACTTGGCAGAGTTTGCTGGTTTTGTAACAAAAGAGAAAGATTAGGATCTTTACTCTGTTCTGCTTTTAAATCTGGCACTTCTGAATCTTGAACTTTTGCTATCTGAGTAATTGAGTCTTTGCATGTGAAGTGCTCCTCCCATGTTTGTTGTATCTCAGGGTCTTTTACATGTAAGTGCCAAGGATCCCCATCTAAGGCAGCTTCCTTTGCTAACAAATCAACTTGATTGTTGCCCTGTGAATGTTGATCTCGTAGAATTTGAATGGGCTTTTACTTTTACAACTGCTGCCTGGAGGGGGTGCTTTGATCCCCATCCAACTAGTTTTTCAAGAGCTTGACTGTGGGCCAGAGATTTCCCTGCTGAGTCTACCATTCCCCTTAGATTCCATATGGGCAGATACTCTGTTAGGGATCTGGTTACATACAGGGGCGTATTAGCCGCGAGGCAAACAAGGCATTTGCCTTGGGCGGCATTTTTCAGGGGGCGGCAAAAAACGCCGCCCCCCAAATGCCCAGGGCAGATGCCTTGTTAGCCTTGCGGCTAACTGACATCCCGATCCCGAGGCGGGCGGCCGGCGAGGGAGCACTTCCCATGAGCTGACTGCTCAGCTCCCTCGCGCACCGCAAAGTGAGGCTGGGAGCCGGAAGATGACGTCATCTTCCGGTTCCCAGCCTCACTCTGCAGCCGACGCGCGAGGGAGCTGAGCAGTCAGCTCATGGGAAGTGCTCCCTCGCCGGCCGCCCGCCCGCCTGCCAGCGCCGCACGCCCTGCAGCCACTGGACCACCAGGGAGAGAGACCCCCCCCCCCCAGCACTCCCAAAGGTAAGGAGGTTGGGGGGGGATTTAAATTAAAAAAAAAGTTAATGTGTGTGTGTTTGTGTCTGACTGTGTGTGTGTTTGTGAGTGTGTGTGTTTGTGTCTGTGTATGTGTCTGACTGTGTGTGTGTGTGTTTGTGTCTGACTGTGTTTGTGTCTGTGTATGTGTCTGACTGTGTGTGTGTGTATGTGACTGTGTGTGTCTGTGTGTGTTTGTGTGTGTGTCTGACTGTGTGTGTGTGTCTGACTGTGTATGTGTGTGTGCTTGTGTCTGACTGTCTGTGTATGTGTCTGACTGTGTGTGTGTGTGTGTGTGTTTGTGTCTGACTGTGTGTGTTTGTGTATGTGTCTGACTGTGTGTGTGTTTGTGTCTGACTGTGTGTGTGTGTATTTAGAAGGTGGGGCGGGGGGAAGGGTTGGGTGGGGGCAGCACAAAACCAGGATACACCACTGGTTACATATGCACTGTCACTATGAATACAGATAGGGTGTGTGTCAAATTTGTGACATGCCATATAAATGGCTTCTAATTCGGCTTTCTGGGCTGAAAAAGAACGCGGCAGCATGAATTTGAGGGATAATTGTTCTGATGGCACCCAGATTGCAAATCCCGTATGGAATTTTCCCTCATGCCAAAAACGTGAACCGTCTACATAGATTTGTATATCTTGGGGGGAGCTTTTATCCCTGAACAATTTAGAGAGTGTGTCTTTCTGTACGTGTATACCTGTGCAATCATGGGGCTCTCCTTGGATGTGCATGAGTTGTGGCAAAATGGATTTTGCATTATGCTGTACAGTAATGTCACGATGCTGCATGTCTGTCAGCCACCTTGTAAGCCGCTGTGTGGATACCCCACTGATAGATTTCTCAAACAGCAACTTCAAAGGTGTGTGAGGGGTTTGCAGAATCAGCTTCCTGAACCCAACTATGTGTTCAGTAGCTTCCACTGACCAATGTACACCCAACAGAGGCTTTATGCATGAATTTTTCTACTGGAGATAGAAGTCTGGAGAAATAGCCAACAGGCCTCCATTTTCCAGCATTCTCCTGCAGCAATACAGATTAGATAGAAGTATCCGATGTACATGTCTGGAGGGCAAATGGAGCCTCCCCATTCACAGTAGCTAGGGCGGGGGCTGATGCCAAATCTTGCTTCAGAACTCTGAATGCTTGTTCCTGTTCTGTGCCCCAGGGAATTTGTACTGGGTCTTCCCCTTTCAAGAGATCATAGAGAGGCTTTGCTTTTTCAGCAAACCCTTCAATGAATTCCCTTGAAAAATTTACAAGTCCTAAGAATTTTCTGAGGGAGTGCTTGTTAAACGGCCTGGGGACTTGCAACATTGCTTTTACTCTTTCAATAGTTGGGCACCTTGTGCCTCCTGTGATATTCACTCCCAAGAATGTTACCTGTTGTTTCAGTAATCGTACCTTTGAAGTATTTAGCTTGAATCCAGCCTCTGCAATTAAGCTAAACAGTTCTCTTAACAAATGTAAATGTTCATCTATTGTCTCTGTTTGCAATAAGATATCATCTACATATTGCATGATACTGGATGGAGACGAGAATGCTTCTAATACCTTTGCTAAAGCCTGGTGGAAATAAGTTGGAGAGCTATGAAAGCCTTGTGGTAGTGTTGTAAATGTATATTGAGTATTTTTAAAGGTGAAGGCAAATTTGTACTGGCATTCTGGGGCTAGCCTAATACTCCAGAAACCATTACTAATATCTAATACTGAATACCATTCACAGGCGGCATTTAGTTTAGATGTCACCTCAGGTATGGAAGCAACCAAATTTGTAACTGGAGGAATGAATTTGTTTACCATCCGAAAATCTACTGTCAATCTCCAAGTGCCATTTTTCTTACGTACTGGCCACAAGGGTGAGTTTTTGGAGGAAGAACATTTCCTAATGATACCCTGTTTCTCCAATTGATCAATTATTTGTGCTACGGGTTCAATGGCTTCTGTTGGAAACCTGTATTGTCTCTGTGGAGGAGCATTAGGTCCCACAATGTTAATTTCACTAGCTTTTAGAATGCCACAATCGTTTTTATGCTGAGCCCAAATTTCAGGGAAATCCAAAATCAATTTACATAGATCAGAGTTATCACTAATATCTGGCCACACTCTGTCTGAAGGAACATAGGCAATGGATGCCACAGGGCTTAAAGAAGTATCATCTAAGATAACAGGCTTTCTCTCTCTTGTATCTCTCCACAAAACATTATTACAAAGGTCTACCAGCATTCCTTCTGTTCTCATTACGTCTGCACCCAGTATAGTACCTTCAGTGTTTTTACTTTGCCATATTGGTATTTTCCTATTCCACTGAGCACTTAAAGTCATACTCACTTTTGGTATAAGAAAAGCCTGGGACTGGGATCCCCCAAGTCCTACAAGAAAGGTCTGTTTTTCCCCAGAAGGGGGACTTAGTGGTAGGTCAGTAAGTGTCACTGAAGCTCCTGTATCGATGAGAATCTTTGTATGATGTCCTGCAATAATTCCGTTCACATAGGGGCGTCCTGCATGGTCCCTAAATGTGTTACAAATAGGAACCATGTCATCCAGTGATAGTCATTCTGAAAATGAAATCAGAGAAACTTCATTCTCTGGATTCATTTTGGAATTAGCAGTCATTGTTCCCTGTACAGTCATCATTCTCAGGGCCTCCTGTGCAGGACCGTATAGGTTTGTCCTAGGCAGGGGGTGAGAATGGTGTCCCTGATCTGTCTTATCTGGGGGGTTATTTCGGTCAGTCTTTTCATAAGTTTTTGGATCAATTCTATGTTTGAAAGGCCTTGAGGGAACAGGATTATCCTGCCATCCCTCAGTTATCCTTTGATCTCTCTTTGCCTTTCTACAATCACTCTGTCTATGACCACTTCTGTTGCAATAATAACAAGTCCCTCTGAATGGAATCTCTGGGAGAGCTTGCCTCCCTTCATTAGTAGCCATAATTGCCACCTTGTGGTGTAACACCTTTCCTAATTAAATTTTGTCTAGCTTTTCCTATAATAGTTAGAACTCCTTCCAGAGTGTCTTTTTCCTCTGCTATCATTTGCACTCTGGGATCTAAATAAGTTAATTTTTTTTATCAGGTGTTGCAGTAAATCAGGAGGGGTTTGGTCTTGTGGTATACGGTGGGTTAATCTGTACACTTGTTCAAATTTAGATGCAAAAACCCAAGGATCATCCTGTAAGTGTACCTTCATTTCAGCGAGTGAATGACTGTCTAAATCTCTTTCTCCGGTAATCAATTTGGAGATTGCTCTAAGCCTGTCTCCTTCTGTCCCCCATTTGTCCTCTTTGAACCAGTCTTGATCCCGATTAATGGGCCCATTTACGGGTGAATTTAATCTGCATGCAATGCTGCTTGGTGCCCACATTTTAAGCATAATACATGCCTCTTTAGGAGAGATCATATATTGTTTGACTGCAGATTCAAAGTTGGACATATTCGAAATTACATCTATTTTGCAGTCATATCGGGGGAAAAGGGATCTTAACTTAACAAGCTGTTTCATTACTTTATCCCTATCTTGCTGCTGCAGAATTTTAGCAGTCTGCAGGGTGGCAGATGCCCTGCTTTTAACAGTCGGTGTAATGGACAAAGGGTCCCTAAAAGGTGATGCTGTTGGTTTAGTTATATGGGCGTTAATACTGGAATACCACTAATATCAAACCCATCCGGTACAAGGTTTCCCCTGTTTACCCCTTGGTCCTCATTTTCTGCAATGCCAGATGCCTCTTCTTCCTCTGCACACATATCCCCATGGCCACATACAGCAACTGGGGTTTGTGCAGCTAAACCTGTTCTAAGCGATGAAATTAGCTCATAATTATCCTCTAATGTATTTACATATTCTGCATTTAAGCCACAAGTTGGACAATCACTATATTTCTGAGTACTACTTTGTATACAAGCCACAGTAGTGTGCCCCAGAAGTATCCGATTTAACTGATTTCTTAAGAACATTACAATTTCATAGAATTTGGGATTTTCTGTTTATCCTTATTCAAACACCATTTTTTATTATCTACTCTCATGTTCTCTTTTTTGCATTGTAACCACATGCTATGCATTTTCTTCAATTCATTTTCATTTTCAAACATTAGTGGATCAAAACTGCTAGACGCTGCATATTCTGCTACAATTTCCATTCTTAAAATAAAGCTAAAAGTACTTACACGATTTGTGTCTTCACACTGCAGGCAAATCAAATGGTGTGCACCCCACTTTGAATCCTTGGTCTGGCTATCTCTGATCCTCCAGAAGTGATGGCCGGCTTACAAACTGCGTCTCACTCTGGTTGCCTCTGCAGGATCCCGCACGTCCTGGCCCTGGACGTATTGCCGAAAACGCTCACAAAAAATAAAAAAAAATTGGTTCGTTTATTTTGTCCCCTTTTATAGCTCACATGTATCTGGAGAAGACTGGATTGTTCCCCCCTTGCAAGTGAGCTTAAAAGGTGGTAGAAAATAATAACATGGCTCGCCAAATGTAATAAACGTTTAACTCGCAAGTTGGAATAAACTTGGAATTAATAATAACATTAATAGCTAAAAATAATAACTTAAAAACCGAGTGTAAATTCAGAGTCCACACTCCTTGCTTTCGGCAATTCAATAATATTTATTAATAAAGGCTTAATCAAACAAATAAACAATACATATACATTTGAAATAGGCTAGTATATGATGCTACTAAAACTAACATTGACTGAATGGAAAGTAGGCTAAATTAACATAGTAGAACAGGCATAGACACGTGATACAGTTACCACTGCATTGATCACCAGCTGAGAGTAAGAGAGAGAGTGAACTATTCACAGGGCTTTAAACAGGTTAGCCCCTCCTTCTGCTGGACACACCTCCCTTAGTCAATTCCTTAGGATGTAACAGAACCAGAGTGCCTCCTGGGGGAAGGGGGATTGCATTGGAAGGGAATGGAGGAGGAGTTTATCAACAACCCAACTGATTTTGCCTGGTGAAAGGCCATGTGCTTCACAGAGGACTCCATTATTGCCTAAGGGTAGCATGGGAGCTTGAATCCCTGTATTAGAACACAATAACACTTCATTGACATACAGTTTGGCTGTTAATCACATCCCCCCACTTATTACAATCTTCAATTCTGGGAAGAATTTATCTAATATAATTTAAGAGAATGACCATAGTGATTTCGAAATGTTCTTGTTAATTGTCCAAGATTTTGGTATTTGTAAATATCTGTTTTTTATCAAATATACGTGCGTTATATAACGTAGGATTACGAGAAACAGCTGCTCATAACTTGTGAAAAACAATCTATGTCATTAATGCTCATGGCCCCCACCGACATGAAAATGGGGTATAAATATAACTGACATATAAATAAAATTTTAATTGGTTATTGAACACGTCTCTGCTATGAAGGGGTAAAATGATTTCCAATTTCCAGAGCTCTGAATGAGTTGGCAAATATCCATCATCCACAAAGGGCCCGGGCTGATTTTATCCCCAACAGTACTGTATGATGATTGGTCACTGTAACTTGTGTTTCAGTCCTCCACAAGGTCCCTGTGGGAGTATTCCTTGCTGGAGGACCTGCATAAAAGGCCAAGCTCTGGCCACCATTAAACAGATCATTTTACCCCTTCATGAAGTCTTGGCTCATGTTTGGGGGATTGGGAGCTATAATTCACTACACCTTCTGCTACACTTGGATTTTGGGAGATTCTGCACGGATTTACTGGAGTATAAGGGATCAGTTACACTAGAACTATCACTGCTACCTCTGTAAAGCTATTAGTATTACTACTACTTCTGTCAAACTCGTAGTACTAGTACTACTACCACCCTTACCTTTTTGTTTTTCAGGAGGTGGAGTTGGCAAAATAGACTGCTGCTTCTCCTCTTTTCCCATCTGGATCATAATCAAATTCCTCCTCATGCTCTAAACTTGTTATCATTTCTTAAAAATGTTTGTAAAAAATTCCATTTACATTACATTCACAGACATACACACTCACTCATTCACAGTTACACTCAGTAATAGACACATACACACATACACTTTCCCAGACAGACACACACACATACAAAAACACATTCACTGGCAGAAATGCATACACACTCACTGACAGACACACATATACTCACTGACAGACACTCAGTGTCAGACACACACATTTACTGACAGTCACACATACATTAGGTAACACACATACACATTCACTGACAGACACACATACTCACTCACTGGCAGACCACACTCTTAGTGACAGACACGGATGCATGCACACTGATAGACATGCATACACACTGACAGATACGCATACACACTGACAGCCACACACTCTCAGTGATAGACACACATACACACTCACTGACAGACCATCCTCTCAGTGACAGACACACATAAAACACTGGCAGACATGTATACACACTGATATACATGCATACACACTGAAAGACATGTATACACACTTACAGACACACACATTGGCACACAAACACACTCACTGACAGACATACATACAGACTCACTGACAGACACACATACATACTCATGGACAAACACATTTACACTCTCCTTGACAAACACACACACTCTCACTGACAGACACATACACTCTCAGTGACAGACACACATACTCACTAACAGACACACATACACACTCACTAACAGACACACATAAACACTCAATAACAGGAACACATACTCACTAACACACACATACACACTCAATAACAGACACACACACTCACTAACAGACACATACACAAACACACACACACACTCACTCACTTGTTGTGCCTAATCATTAAATTCATGAAGCTCCAATATCCAAAAAGTAATAATCAATTACGTAATAAGGTTTATAGCGATATTGGCGGGCACACAACCCAGTTCGGGATGAGTATCTTGAACTATAGGAAAAAGAAACCACACAGAGACCAAGTTGCAGATAAGAATTCACACCACACTTTATTGTCCACAAGGGGACCCAATACAGAGTAAGCTTAACTCTCATTAAGTAGTTGAATGCATTCACTTCAAAACAGCTTAGTAGCCACATATATCAGCTTAAGTATACATCACCATTAGAGGGGCTCGGTTGTCCTCTGCACTTGACTGGGGAACTCTGGTAGTCAGGCTTGGAGGGACCCTCTCTGGGAACAGCAGAGACCAGCAACACGCGACCGCATTACAGGTGGGTAGTTCTCCAAGTGAATGCCAGGTTTCTCCATCTTTTATACTTTTTATCAAGTTTGTAACTTTTCCAAGATTTCTTATCAGTGCAGCCCAGCATGTATCTTGTCATGCGCATTAAGTAATGAGTATGGTTGATCAGGCCAGTCGTGACCACCCAAGGCCCACGCCAGACACATGCGGTATCTTATTCTATCTATGTCCCTACTCTTATCTTTCTACACATTTATTGGCACCAAATCCCTCTTTTCAGCACGTGGCCTTTTTGGATATTGGCCAGACATGCTATGGAATAATTTCTTAGTGCGACACAGTTTAATTTCTTAGTGCCACACAGTTTAAGTATTTTATGCAATGTCATCGTAGCTGAATTTCTTAGTGAGACACAGGTTGAATTTCTTAGTGCGACACAGTTTAAGCCAAGTGCCATCTTAACTATCTATAATAGATTAATTTGCTCATTAGTGATCAATCAATCATGCTTAACTAGTTAATTGGATTTTATCACAATTATCACATCACTAACAGGCACAAACACACTAACAGACTCACAATTTTCTTTCTTTAAATTTCAATCCACCCAGCATCCCTACCTTAGGGAGTGCTGGGGTGGATTCTGTATTAATGCATCTAAATACAGCGCTGTTGGTAGTTTCTGCTGCTCTGTTTCTTTCTTGATGATGCAAAGTACTACTACTATTAGTACTACTTGCACTATATACGCTGCTCCTGGCTTTTGGGGCACTGATGGTTCTGGCAACAATGTTACTTTTAGTTGTGAGGGTGCTGCTTCTGTCACTCTCTCAGTTGCTTTAATATACATCTATGACCAAATTTTGCAAGGTGATACTTCTTTAACTATTTACTAATAGAATGCACTGACTCTACTTTTCCAGTGTCTTTGAAGTATAGAATATAAACCAGGCATTCTCTTAGTGGGTGGAGCAAACATTTCAGGTTGTCACTGCTGAGTCAGAGCACCGATTCGGTGGGCACAAATGAATTTGCGAAAGACCCATGTTCACAATTCGCTAGACTTGAAGTTATCCTTTCAAAAAAAAAACCTAGCCTATTTAAACCCCGGGCTTTGTTGTCCCAATCACCCTGTTGTGATTCTTCTTTAGCCCAATAGTGCGTTTGTTAATACTTTGATCCATTGGCTCATTTACAATTGATTTTATTCTCTGTGTGTCTAATATTTGGCTTGTCTACCGTTTACTCTGTTTTCTCCTACGCTTGACCTCGGCTATCTCTCTGACTAATTATGTATTAAGTCTGGCTATTCTAAGGTTCAGTAAGTTAGCTAATGTGTTTCCATTCTAATCAGTTTTTATTGCTAGTGATAATTAAAGAGAGGCACATCACAATTATTGAAGTTTTCTTTTAAGATTTATTAATTTAACAGAATTACAATCTGACATAAAATAAAGAGCTTAAGCTAAATGATATAAAGCAACACATGCACCTGCCATGTACAACCTCTATTAGTTTTAAGGTCTTATTGCCACATCACTGCACTAAAGTGCAATAAACATTCAATGTCATCTTTAAAAAAGAGTAAACAGAAACTGTCCTCTATAAGAGTGGATCATTATTCCCAAGGAAGACTTACTATTATTACATGGTTTAGCAAAGCACTGTAAAAAAGCTATGTAGAATATCATTCTTTTGAAAAGCTGTGCAGTAAGATTTATACAGTATCACACTTTTTGCACAAATTAATTAACTAAGATATGGCATTATGTGATTGCATAGCAAAGCACACTAAATATAAATAATTTACACAATCTAGTGTGCAAAATGCATGCAAAAATAGCTATGAATCATAAATAGAAAGAAAATAACAATATAAATATTCACTAAAGTTAAAGAACTTTTTTTATACAAATATCTACACAAAGTACTAAAAGGTAGTACGAAAAACATCTCCTTTAAGAATTCAGCTTTTGATTAATGATTTACAGTACAGTTTGTGACCTGTATTCTTCTAGCTAATCTTATTTTCACCGTATCCATGGCAGCACAACAATTGATAGCTCCTCCCATTCCATAATTAGACAGGAACCTAATTAAAAGCAAGTATAAATACCCCCTTCTGCACCTATTCCTTCAGTCTTTTTGTTCATGTTCTATCCAATATAAGACAATAGAGCCATGTTATGACATTTCTAATTAACTTTTGCTTAACTATGGGTTTTATCTCTGCCCCATTTCAGCCTCAGGATATGGCCCTGTGCAAAGGTGTCCCCCTGAAGGCTCCTCTTTAGGATTAATGGGACTTGACCAGAGTCCCATTAAGTCTATTTATGCCCTGGGAAATGCCCTGTTATATCTCCTCCTGTTATTACAATTTCATACCTGTTTCATCCTGGCCATGTTTTTTCTTCCATTTTAGTTTATCCTTTTAGCTTCCCTTGGGGTCTTTTTTATCATTCTCTATGCATTGCAGCTGGATTTGGTCAAATTTGTAACTTTTTTGGGAGTGTCCTTGATGTTTTATAATCTCCTTGATAATGATATCTGTCTAGTGCTACTGTGCATGAGTGGGGATGTCATTTGTCCCTTCACTGCACCAAAATTGAGTTTTTGGATACTGGGATAATCCCTAGTTGGGTTCTGAGTGTGTCCATAGACGCTATTAGTAAACTTGTGGTATTTTCCAGTACTTTGTTGTTGGATTTATTGGGAAAGTTTTAAAGGTATATTACTTTTAAATGTGTATTACCCTTTTTTATTCATTATGATATTTTTTTTTTTGCTAGTGGTGTATTATAATATTTGTATTTGAACAAAATTGCAATAATAGATTCAGATTCATCTGCTTATAATCAAAGATCACACTCTAGGAGCCATTGGTAAATCATGTTTTATTGTTTTCCTTTTATTGGCTTTATTATTGGAATATTAAACAAAGAGTGGTCACAGGAGGAGATGTTTGATGATCTCATGTAAAGGAATACACATAAGAAAGCCATTTTGTCATCTGTATGTGAGGTAGTTCTTTAACCAGAAATTCTGGATCCATCAAGTGTGGATCATTTTATATCCAGAGTGTGCAGTTCCCTAAGAATGAAGGAGTTGCCAAAAGATGAACTGTCTTCAAGAAGAAAAACTCCCGGTGGACAATTCAACTAAAGAGCTCACTAAGATAGTGTTCATCTTGCGGGAGTCCTAACTTCTGTATCTTGGGTCTCAAAAGATATGGATTAAAAATCATAGATGGAAGGAGCCATTCTTCTGCTATTGAAAGCCTACAGGATATTAAACTGACTGCAAATTTTACAACAGAGGATTCAATGGATATGGTTAAATCATTATCCAGAAATGTTGCCCTTTTTGTTTCAGCCAAGATTGCCATATGGCTTAGATCATGAATTATAGATGCTTCTTTCAAGAATAGTCTATATTCCCTACAATTTCCAGGGCAAATGTTGGAAATACTTGAATGCATGTATAAAGTGAGCAGCTGAAGGAAGAAATGTATTTATACCTCAAAATTGAAGACAAAAGAAAAACATTTACAGACAGGACCAGGAGGGTATTTATCCTTTTGAGACAGCAGAGCACATTTTCCTGAAGTAGAGTATGGTAGATCTCATCCATGGAGAGGATGACATTCTACTGCCAGAGGCAATAAGTCCAGAGGAAGCATGACTACCAAGAATTCCAAATGCTTATGATTGGGTGCTCCCAAACTGGAGGGGAATGCACACATCAGATCCTGTTCAGAGAAAAAAAAGTCAGTTCAAGATAAATGGGTCTTGCATATTGTACAAAGAGGCTATTATCTAGAATTTGAAACATTCAGAATACAAAGAGAAAAGAATCACTCTTCACATATTCCTCTCATCCTTGGATCAGGAAGGAGTCGTTAGAGTCCCAGTATAAGAGAAAACCTTTGATTTCTACTCTCACCTGTTCCTAAACCAGGAAAGCATTGGGGGATGTGGGTGGAGACCAATCCTACATCTTCGCTAACTTAATGGATACCTGAGAATGTGGAAGTTCAAATGGAATCTCTACAGTCTATTCTAAATGTGGTGTTTCAATTCAGAGCCCTTATCTTTGATCTAAGAACAGCACTATGCACCTTTTTCAAGGTTATTGTACGAATTGCAGAACTGAGGAAACAAGGTGTTGTGATATACCGTTATCTGGACATCATCATCCTTGCAAATGACAAAGCCACACTTTTAAATCACTGAAATCATTGAATCCACTTCCTACAACATCATGGCTGGGAAATAAATATAGACTAGAGTCACCTATCTCCTACTCAGAATATGATCTGCCTAGGAGCACTCTTCAATATAATAAACAGCATTGTACAGTTAATGCAAGACCGAGGGAGAAGACTTCAGGCAAATGTCAAAGAAATTGGCTGCCAGTGTGGCCTCAGCAGATAAAGTCATGAGCCTGTTGGGTTCTATGTCCTCTACCAAAGGACTGAAGAGGTGAGAACTTTGGAGAATGAGAACCCTAAAAGAGACTTTCCGACATTGGTTCAAAACAGCAGCCTACAACAGCTCATGATAATTGTGCCCAAAGTTCATCACTTCCTTTTGTGGTGGCTTCATGAAAAGAACATTTCCAGGGATTCTCCTCACAACAGATGCAAGTCACTGATATCCTGGGCACAAATGAATTTCCTGGGTCTGGTGGTGATCCATTTACCATGACAAGAGGACACTGTAGCAGACTACCTCAGCAGAGTCTAGACAATTTTTTTGACGAGGGGTAGAACTGATGGCGAATTTGCAACAACAAGAAACTTCCCAAGTCCTTGTTCAGTACCTTCATCCCTCAAGCCAAATGTAGGAACACCTTGTTGTACAAATGGGAGTTCAAACTACCAATTCCACTCATGCTTCTACTCTTGAGAAGGTTGTGACAAGAAAAAGTCTTGAGAGATCCATTGTGGCCTTTCAGACTGTAGTTCCCTCTGCTTCAAAATCTCTGTAAGGAGCCACCAGTGGAATTTCCAAAAGCACTATGCCTTCTTGGGCTTGGTTTTGTATCCACACTCTTTGTCCCTGAAGTTGAGGTCATGGAAGTTGAGAGAGAAAGATTAAACAACAAATTTAATCATCCGTGGTGATTAACACAATGATGAAAGCCAAGATATGTTCAACTTCAGCTATATACTGTCCTGTATAGAATGCTTCTTTGGTGTGGGCTCAGAAAAAGAATGTTTATGTTCAGTGTCCAACTACAAAAGACAATTTAGAATTTCTGCAGTCAGGACTGGAAAAAGGACTAAGGTATAACACATTGTAAGTTCAAAGTTCAACTTATTTGCCCTTATGAATCATAAATAGGCCTTTGATAAAGACTTCCTCATGCCAGTCCTCATGGTTTTTCCTTTCTATAAAACCCATTTCTCTACTTGAGATCTTCAACTAGTTCTGAAAGCTTCCTCTTCCTTTCAGCCACTGGATTTGATCTCTCCACATTTCCTTAGCATGAAAAGAGTTCTACTAGTGGCATTAGCTTCAGGGAGCAGAGTCAGAACTTCAAGCCCTTTCTGCAGAAGATACCTCTATAATCTTTCATCAGGACAGTATTATTCTTAGAACAATTTCAGAAATCCTACTCAAGGTGGCCTCTTCTTTTTTATCTACATTAAAAGATTGTGCTACCAGCATTAGAATCATCTGAGCTGGACAAGGCAGAATAATCATATCTGAGACTGCTTGTTATTCACAGCAGGGCCAGGAAAGGCCTTCAAGCATTAAAGGAAGCCATCCACAGATTAATTGTCTCAGCTATTATCCTTGCTTATCAATAATCAGGCATTCTGGTTCCAAAAGGAACTTAAAGCCTATCCAACCAGGTAATTCAGCTTCGTGGGCACCTGTGGCTAAAATTCTTTAGGAGATAATCTGTAAAGATGCTACATTGACTTATATTAAAAAGTGTATTAAGTATGTTAGAGGTGCACATTGTGATACACTTGGCCAAAGTCTTCCTTCAGGTTTATGGTTGAGGTTGAATTATCATTGCACTTGTTTGTTTGACTACACTAAGTTGGAATTCATTTTTTGGACGTTTATTTTTATTTTTTCCTGGTATTTTGTCTTCGTATTACCCATTGTTGTGCTGCCATGGATATGGTCAGGAAAAGAAAACATGTATTCCTACTTACCATGATTTTCTTTCACTGGATGTAGGCCATGGCAGCGCAAAGATTAGGTCTGTGGGGATACTGCTTGGTGCAAAAGACTGAGGGAAGCAGGGGGTTATTTATACACTGGTTTAATTAGGTTCTTGTATAATTAGGGGGTTAAAGGAGCTAACCACTATTGTGCTGCCATGACCAATCACCAGGAAAAGTAAATGTGGGTATGTAGGAATACATTATCTCTTATTGCTAAAGTTGCATTTCTGTATTAAGAGATTCCTTTTTTTCCAGCAAAAACAAACAAACATTTAGACCCAGAGGAGAAAGAGTAATCTGGAGCTAATGTTTGTGCATCCCAAAACCTTTTAAATGTATTAAAAGGCAGTTTTGTTTTATAAATGCATGATGTCTATAATTATAATTTTTGTATATAATTGATAATGTCAACGATATGCATTCAGCTGTAATATTTTGTGCAATGTAGTTTATCAAAAATATTTGTATTATGTTACATTCAGAGAATATACAGTTAGGTCTGGAAATATTTGGACACTGAAACAAGTTTTGTAATTTTGGTTGTTCTTACCAAAATAAGTTACAGTTAACTAATGAATATGGGCTTAAATTTCAGTCTCTCAGCTTTAATTTGAAAGTATTCACATCCAAATTGAATGAGAGGTTTAAGAACAATAGCTCTTTCATATGTAACCCCGTCTTTTTTAACGTTTTTTCATCGTTTTCCTCATTTCAAGGACAGGTGTGGGCTATTCATTATTTCTTCATCAATTAAGCAGGTATAAGGTTTGGAATTGATTCCACATGTGGCATTTGCATTTGGAAGCAGTTAAGTAGGAACATTAGTGGCCAAATCAACAGTTTGGTACATTTTGAGAAAAAAATAACTCAGTGGTGAGCTCTGCGACACAAAAAGGCCTGGACATTCATGGAAAACAACAGTTGTGGATGATCATAGGATCCTTTCCATTGGTAAAGAAAAACCCCTTCACAACATCCAGCCAAGTGAAGAACACTCTCCAGAAGGTAGGCATATGATTATTGAAGTGTAGCATAAAGAGGAGACTTTAAAAGAGCTAATATAGAGGGTTCACCACATGGTGCAAACCACTCATAAACCTCAAGAATAGAAAAGACAGATTGGACTTTGCCAAAAAAAAAAAAAATCTAAAAAAGCCAGCCGAGTTCTGGAACAGTGTTCTTTGTACAGATGAAACTAAGTTCAACCTGTACTAGAATGATGTGAATGATATGAAAAACAAAGTATGGATAAGGCTTGGAACATCTCATGATCCAAAGCACACCACACTATCTGTAAAACACGGTGGGGCAATGTGATGGCATTGGCATGCATGGCTTCCAAAGGCACTGGGTTACTAGTTTTAATTGATGACATGACAGAAAACAGAAGCAGTCAAATGAATTCTGAAGTGTATAGGGATATAATGTCTTGTTTAAATTCAGTCAAACTTAGCAAACTTGATTGGACGGTGCTTAACTTTACAGATGGACAATAAACCAAAACATACTGTGAAAGCAACCCATGAGTTTTTTAAGGAAAAGAAGTCGAATATTCTGTAATGGCCAAATCAATCTCCTGAGCTCAACCCGATCGAGCATGCATTTTACTTGCTGAAGAAAAACATAAAGTGACACTATAGTCACCAGAACAACTACAGCTTATTGTATTTGTTTTGGTAAGTATAATAATTCCCTTCTGGCTTTTTGCACTAAACACTGTCTGTTTATAGACGTCAAAGGCTAGGGTTACCTCCACTGGCCACTGCTAAGATAGCTGCTAGAGGTGCTTCCTCGGGCAGTGGTGCACAGTGTGTGGAGACACTGAACATTTTTCATAGAAATACATTGATTCAATTAATCTATATGAGGAGATGCTATTTGGCCAGGGCTGTTTTTGGCTTGTGCTAGCTCTGCCTCCTTGACAGCCACCAATCCAATTCTTTGCTATTGGAAAGATTTGTTATTGGCTTTGATCAACACTTCTGATAATGTCAGCCAAGGAAGCAGATCAGGGCAGAGCCAGCAGCAGCAGACTGAAATAAAGATACAATTTTACTATATTTAGGGGGGCAAGTGGGAGCCAGGGGGGCTAGATAGTATTAACACCATAGGGTCCAGAATGCACGGTGTGTTCCTGACCCTATAGTGTTCTTTACGGAAAAAAGCAATGGCAAAGCATCACAAAGGAGGAAACCCAGCGTTTAGTGATGTCTATGCGCTCCAGACTTTAAGCAGTCATTGTCTGCAAAGGATTCTCAACAAAGCATTAAAAATTTACATTTTGTTTATTATTGTGGTAATTTGTCCAATTATATTAGGGCTAGTGAAAAAGGGGATTGTGTAAAACATTTCATGCAATATTTTTGATTGCATCAATTGTGGTGGCATACAGAGCAAAAATTATGAAAATGGAAAATGTTATCAGTATCCAAATATTTCTGGATGTTTTTTATATATATATATATATATATATATATATATATATATATATTTTTTTTTTTTTTAATGTAAAACTAACTTGAATAATTTATTTAAATTTATTCTGCAAAATACTAACACAATTTACTTTGAAAACTGTTGCTGTTTAAAGCCACAAACTTTAAAGGTGTATTAAGATTTGCTTTGTCAGACCATGGACCTCTTTTAGTTTCTACTAATCAGTTACGTTGTAAAACCTTTTTTTTAATGTACTAATTGTTCTACACTGCAGCCAAACCAATATCAAAGGGAAATTAATGAAAACACTAATTAGCCTCTTAATCTGTGGTCTGACCCCTCTTAAATGAAAATACTTGTACTAAATAGTTTCCTATTTTTTTCTTTTTAAAATGCATTTTGGTAATATATGCATATATGTTTATATGACTTTACTATTTAATTTGTATATGAGATCTACATTGAGATAATTATGAAAAATGTAGTTACACCTACAACTACAATATAAAGAAAAGATAATTAAAACAATCATTACAAGCCTAAGTAGACATTTTAGCAGAATCTAGCATATTAAAGGGGAATTGACATTTCTCTGGAATTTAGACCACTGAATAAAACATTGAACATGATTTATAAAACTTTCATCCTTTTTTCATGTGATGCTACATTTTCTTTCATATTTATATTGAAGATTTAACAAATGACATCATAATCCAGTTCAGACAAGGCAAGGTCAGGACAAACATTGCAAATAAAGAGGTGAGATAGAGACATTGTTTCATTTCTCACCTTCTCTATATGTTTTCTCTATGTTTACTACCAGGTGCAAAGGACAGAACTTATAACAATGACTGACAGGGAGCTAAACAGGTATAGATTTCTACATTCAATTTTTTTTTCGACATTTCAGAAATACATATTTGTTAAACATAAGGATCACAAACATAAAATAAAATAGTTCTGGAAAGTGACAGTTCCAATTTGCAGAATATGTTTTCCTAGTCATAGTTCTTTTTTGAGAGGAATAATATAATGGTATCATTTACTGACATCTACAAAAAAAATCATAACCACATTCATTGTGTTACAGCTTTATGTGCAAGTCGTTCATAAACCTTGCATATTTTCTATACATACAATGTATAAGCATTTTCATGCATCCTATTTATAAAACAGTATATTGTGTAATTATTGGCCCAGGTACCAAACATTCACATTATTATGTTTACATTTTTGCAAAGCAATGCAATGATCTGTCAAAGCTGAGAATATTTATTCTGTCAAAACACTGACTTTGAGAGATTATAATTAATAATATCAGAACGTGATCTGGAATTCTGCATTATTATCTGATATACATTCATGTTATGAAAAATCATACTGCAAAAATGCTGACATCTAGCACATAAAGATGTAAAATGAACATTTAGAAATATGGCTCAACATAATTTAAAAATTACATAAAATAGCACTAGACTTTTATGGTTGTAAAATAAAAGAATTTGCTACTTGCATCTAAAGTATATTCCATACATAAAAAATAATAACGTAATTTTAACATAATTTTATCAAACGGCATGGATACTTTGCTTTTAATTAATTGCAGTCTTTTTGCATTTGATAACATAGTTACACTGTGTATTTTACATTTATGGAACTCTACTCTGGGAAAAATGAATTGAAAACATTCTAAATTAATTCATTTTAAACCTAACTTAAATTTAATATGTATTTCAATCTTTTTTTCTTTTCATTTTAATTTTAAACTTATCGAACAGGGCACACAAGCTGTTTTACAATTCTGAAAGGAAATGCTATACCTACCATAAAAGACATCCTTTATTTAAAGCCCTTACGTAGTGTTTCTACAAATATATTGCTACTTCAGAATGAAATGTACTAACTGTACTCAATAAAATCTACTTTTTATATACATTCGTTTATGATTATCTGCATTTAATGCTACATATTTTACATTACATGTAAACAAGAAAGATAGTTAACTAAAGATTTACAAATCATCTACTCTCTTACATTGAACCAGATTTGCTAGAGGAAATCATTGTGTCTGATCTAATGATGCATATAATATATAAAATGTTCTATTCCAAAACACGTCTTTAATTTGTTAAAAATGAAAAACAACAAGAAAAAAAGAGGAATTTGTATTTTTTGCAATTCTAATTAAAATGTGTAAATTTCTTAAAGGTTCACTTTTTTTTGAAAATAAATGTCAACTTTAGAATCAATATAATTAATAATTCAAATCTAACAAATAACCTATTCCATTTTTTTTGTTAAATTAAATACAACCTTATTAATGTGCAACATATGGAAAGTACATTAGATAAGTGTATAATCATAATTTAATGATCCTGATAAAGAATAGCACTATTATTATTATTATTATTATTATTATTATTATATATTGAAGCAGGCAGTTTTGCTATTATTTTATTTATAGGCATTCATGTTCAATAAAATAATTTTCATTATAAAAATATTGTATTACAACATGCACAGATAGCATGTAGTTCTAATCATACATTGTTTTTGGTCAAATTAGTTCTCATTTTTGAAATATTTAGACTTTCATATAAGTAAATAGGTAACCCACTAATTATTCAATCGGATTGAATATTTTTGCAATTAAAATATTATCTTTAATTAAAACATTACAATGTCATTAGGCTATTTGCTAAATTCCATGCACTGTGAAAATTTTAAAAAAACTGGTGACAAGGTTCAGTAGCTAATTCTACTACTACACTACTAATAGTGTGATTTAAAAGGCATTTAATTTGGTTGAATCATCCAAAAAGAACATTTGCACATGTCTCATATCTACTGTACTGGTAATTTTGGAGTAGCTGCTTTGAAGTAAATTTCTTTTGAAAGTTATTTTTAAAGTTGAATATTAGAAGGGAACACATAATTACAAGGTTACCCAGTAAATTACCAATTGTTATCAATTAATGCAAGTGAATTTCAAAATATAGGCCAAAACAGCAGAACTGAAAGCATAGTTGGTGTGGAAAATTGTTTTCAGTCAAGCACATTTGGCCAAAATTTTAAAATTCACCTTAAAATAGTGATAGTTAACATTTACACGAAGAACCCTGTTATTATTTTAAATACTTTGCTAATCTTCAAAATTATGTTTCAGTTTTTGGAGAATGTAATCTTGGTGTTAAACATGTCATATAATTGTGTTTGCATTTACAAAAGTCAAACAGATTATTAAAATATATTACAATCTCAAAATTTGGAAACCACACTACAATTAAATTAATTTAGCAAGTAGGATAGTAGTTAACCATTCTTAGATTTACAATAATTCGTTAGAAAAAAAATTTCATATAAACCAATTGCAATTTTAATAATAATAAAAAAATTGTACAATTGCATGATGTATTAAAAAATGCAATGAATACCCTGTAGCTCCAATAAAGTGTCAAAAAGATTTTTTGGCAATCAGTAGGATTAGCTTGAACCTTGTGGAAGTTACCTGGAGGTGGGTAACCTAGATCCTGCATCTATTATGTTGGAGTGCTGTATTGTTTATGCCCATATAATCAAAGGTCTAATATAACACAGACATGAAACAGCAATGTTAAAGGTGAAATAGACCACAAAGAAAATCCCCATTTGATAACCATTAAAATACAATTTTACAAAATGTTGAAATTAGTCATATAAATACTGCATGTTAAACAAAATTAGTTTTAAGTCACCCTGCAAATGTTTACCAGTTGATTGGTTGGGCTCTCATAACTAGAATACATTATATAATACCATAATAACATATAATTCATTCTAGTAATCTACCTCTCCTATTGAAGTAATGCTCCAATAATTATCAGGTCAGTTTACTAGTTCTGAATTAGTATTATTTTCTAGTGCTATAACAAATTAACACCAAAATTAATTTGAGGGAGGCAACACCATAGGACACCATGACCTGAAATGCCACTAGATGTATATTGATAGAAGGTAATATCATATAATAGTATAGAGGGGTTCAGCAAATTTATCTACCACTACCTTCTTCACTTAAATAGTGAAATTGAGAATAATATAACTATTAGGGGCAGGGTCCCCCTTAGCTCTCTAGTCCACATTCTAATCATAGCCCCTTTACTCTTACAATTATAGGACACGCAGTGTGCTCAATTACTAATAGCACAAATATAACTCCTCATCCATCTTTAAATCAAATAGGATCAGGGTTTGGTCGATCACTTGCCATATAAAGTCCTACAGGCTATGGGTTCAAAAGATCTTGTCACTAAGTCACTAACCCTACCAAGTTCAAAATAAACACTTTAAACAATAGTAATACATTTTACCTTGTTGTGCATTTGGCAAACATTAATCAAGCCATCATACCCAATACAACTGTATAAAAAAAATCAGTTTGCCAACATTTGATGGAAAAAATATAAAAATTAGAATGAAAAACTCTACAAGAGCATTTCTTAGGGCTAGTGAGTCAGGAAAATTATTATTTACATATTTATTTTGTATGGAAAAAGAAAATAGATGACAATAAGATTTTGAAATGTATGTATAAATAATTATTTGACCTGGTGTATTACTCTTGTTTATTTTACTGTTTCATCTCCCTAACACTAATTAGAGAAAGTGGGTTGGTAATGAGATTTAGATGAGATTGTCAGGGCATGGCACATTTGTGGCTAGGAGTTTGAATATCCATAGCCACTGTGATAGGGCTAGGGGTATACAAACTTTGTCTGATCAGGGAATTGGGTAATATTATACTAAAAACATAGAGACTGCCTAGTCCACTTAATTATTTTACCCACCACTCCACTACCCAGTTGGTTTAGGAAAAAGGAAATGGGTTAGCAACCGGGCCCCTTACACAGTATTAAATTATTCTCAATCCCACTAAACATAATTTGTAGCAAGGGGACATTCACTGGGCCTCTGTTCATAATATTGAAAATGTTAGGCTTGGCAGTGAGGGCATTAGCCATGCTAGTATACATAATATAAATGTGTAACTTATTTTATGAAATACATTTTCTGATCAACCAGCACATTGTTAATTTTTTTTTCAGCTTTAGTTTGATTGTGCCTAAAAAAAAAAACAAATTATAAATATTTATGACGGTTACCAGAATATAAAAGTAAATCCTGTTTGTGAGAATAATACACTAAGTAGGGTAACACCAGCTATTTAAAAGGATGTCCAGCGTCATTAAACACACTTTTCGTGTTCTATGAACACGGAAGTGTCCTCTAGTGGCTGTCTAGTAGACAGTCACTAGAGGAGGACTTAACCCTGCAATGTAAATATTGCAGTTTATGAAAACTGCAATAATTACACTTGCAGGGTTAAGGGTTGTGGGAGTTTACACCCAGACCATTCCAATGGGCAGAAGTGGTCTGGGTGCCTGGAGTGTCCCATTAAACGTTACAGTGCTTTGCAAGACGCTATGGCATTCTCAAAATAATCTATGCAGTGCACAGAATATTTTCAGAGTCGTCTATCCTTCCCTCTCAGCTATAAAGGTGCAGAGAAATAAAATGAGGCATTGTCAAATACAATGATTTCCCTACAAGCTGATTTTCAAATCTGGACCAACAAGGTACCTTGTTTGAAAGCCTAGGGAGTGGTTATAAACTAATTTACCATTAAGTGATAATTTACTATACAAGGGGAGTAATGGAAAATTGTGAATTTGACCCCTTGTATATTTTTGGTGCTAAATTCTCCATATACTAAACACAACTTTGAGTATGGTGTAGATGATCAAAAGAGCCAGGTGTAGGGAACCTTCCTTGTTTTTCTGCTTAATTTCTCACCAGTTTATTGCTGCCACTAGATATTTTTATTTTCTTACAGTTTTTCAATATTTGTTGAGCTGTTGTTAAGTAATTTTTGATCACACTCAGTGCTTTGTGGATAATAAAACTATAGATCATCTTTCAGCACCTTTTGTCAAGTTCAAGAATTATTTCAACTGGAGTTTAAATTCAACAATTGAACAAAGAGTAAAAAAATCGGAACTTAACGGACAAACCAAATGACATGCTTGGCATATGTATGTGCTGCACATGTGCTGGTGTGTATTGCATCTCACCAATTAGATACTATACTTCAACATTACCTAAAAAAGTGCCATATGATTCTATGTGTTTGAAAGAAAGGAAATTACTAAAAGAACTATAACACTAATATAAGTTGTACCAGCTGACACAATAACATATGTCTATTTTATTTTGGCCTTTTTGTTAACATAGTTACATGCTTTTATCTAACTGTTACAAAAATTACAATTATTAATATAATTAGTATAATATAATTAGTATATATATATATATATATATATATATATATATATATATATACACATATATATATATATATATATATATATATATATATATATATATATATAAATGAAACCAAGAATGGCTATATATCCAACAACAGCCCAGCAAACACTCTTCCGTCTCGTGCTGACCTCAGTGCAAACTTTATGCCTTCAAGAAAAGTGCACTCAGAGGGCTTTGTAGTTCAAACAAAATACCTTTATTGTGCAATGGTGATACACATCAATGTTTAGGTCCATGTTTCAGTTCAGTTCCAGACTTTGATCAAGACAATCATTAAACGCCAAAAAACAATATATAGGGTGTAAACACTCTCTCTCTCTCTCTCTCTCTCTCTCAACGTATATATATATACAGTTGCAAGAAAAAGTATGTGAACCCTTTGGAATTATATGGATTTCTGCACAAATTGGTCATAAAATGTGATCTGATCATCATCTAAGTCACAACAATATACAATCACAGTCTTCTAAAACTAATAACACACAAAGAATGAAATGTTGCCATGTTTTTATTGAACACACCATGTAAACATTCACAGTGCAGGTGGAAAAAGTATGTGAACCCCTAGACTAATGACACCTCCAAGAGCTAATTGGAGTGAGATGTCAGCCAACTGGAGTCCATTCAATGAGATGAGACTGGAGGTGTTGGTACAGCTGCCCTGCCCTATAAAACACAGACCAGTTCTAGGTTTGCTTTTCACAAGAAGCATTGCCTGATGTGAATGATGCCTCGCACAAAAGAGCTCTCAGAAGACCTACGATTAGGAATTGTTGACTTGCATAAAGCTGGAAAGGGTTATAAAAGTATCTCCAAAAGCCTTGCTGTTCATCAGTAAGACAAATTGTCTATAAATGGAGAAAAGTTCAGCACTGCTGCTACTCTCCCTAGGAGTGGCCGTCCTGTAAAGATGACTGCAAGAGCACAGCACAGACTGCTCAATAAGGTGAAGAAGAATCCTAGAGTGCAAATGCTAACATCCCTGTTAGTGAATCTACAATACCTAAAACACTAAACAAGAATGGATTTCATGGGAGGATACCACAGAGGAAGCCACTGTTGTCCAAACAAAACATTGCTGCACGTTTACAGTTTGCACAAGAGCACCTGGATGTTCCACAGCAGTACTGGCAAAATATTCTGTGGACAGATGAAACCAAAGTTGAGTTGTTTGGAAGAAACACACAACACTATGTGTGGCGAAAAAGAGGCACAGTACACCAACATCAAAACCTCATCCCAACTGTGAAGTATGGTGGTGGGGGCATCATGGTTTGGGGCTGCTTTGCTGCGTAAGGGCCTGGAGGGATTGCTATCATCGAAGGAAAAATGAATTCGCAAGTTTATCAAGACATTTTGCAGGAGAACTTAAGGCCATCTGTCTACCAGCTGAAGCTCAACAGAAGATGAGTGTTGCAACAGGAGAATAACCCGAAGCATAGAAGTAAATTAACAACAGAATGGCTTAAACAGAAGAAAATACGCCATGGCAACATTTCATTATTTGTGTGTTATTAGTTTAAGCAGACTGTGATTGTCTATTGTTGTGACTTAGATGATGATCAGATCACATTTTATGACCTATTTGTGCAGAAATCCATATCATTCCAAAGGGTTCACATACTTTTTCTTACAACTGTATATATATATATATATATATATATATATATATATATTTTTTTTTTTATATATATATATATATTGTTTTTTGAGGTTTAATGGTTGTCTTGATAAAAGTATGGAATTGCACTATATGCATATATATGTGTGTTTATAAATGCGTGTGTACATTTGTACATGTGTAGGTATATGTATAGGTGCTTGTGTATGTAGAAGTGTGCATGCATATATATTTGTGTCTTTAAGTGTATGTATATGTATGTATTTGTGTACATGTGCATATGTATGTGTGTATCTTATACATATATGAATGTGTAGGTTGTAAATAGGCCTTCATGCATATTCAGGATTCTTGAAAGTGAATTCATGCATTCTTAATTAATGTAATTAATGTTTTAACTTCCACCTTGTAGTAACATCTACTGCACTCTTTTGTTTTCTCTCTCCCCCCCACACTTAACCTTACAAATTATATTTACAAAGCTTTGTGACAATGGTGTCTATTTTCTATCAGACCTGTGTCTTATCTGTACTCATGTCTTTAACCCCAGTATCACGGCTTAACTTTGAATTCTTAGTGTCGTTTTTGCTCAGAAATGTTTTAGACTGAGAAAGGAATGTTCTCCTTAATGTTTGTCATTCCAAAAGTATCTCAGTCCAATAAAAAAATTATTACATGATATTATTGACATCAGTTATTTTACATCTGCATCACTGGCCTAATATAGCTGCAATCTACTACAGGGCTTTGTAGTGAAGATAATGCTTCTTTGTTTAAGTAGACCAAATGCAGTTTCAACAGGATCAATGTTTCAGTCCTGTGATGGAATTTTATTAAGATAGGACTGAATAGTTGAGCCTGCTCTAACTGCATTCAGTCTGCTTCAATATTTCAATAAAGCAGCATTATCTTCACTACTAAGCCCTGTAAGTGCTCCCCTGTTTGCTTTTTGTTTATTGGGTATATATTGGATTATTTACTTCTTGGTGCCCCTTCATTATCTACAGAAGAACCATACATTCATAATTAAGCAAGTTTAAGTTTTCACATATATGTGGTGTACAAATTAAACTCAGTGTTTAAATACTGAAGAGGGTTTTTAGAAAAAATACAATCATCAGACATTTAGCTTATCTAAAATAAGCTGAATATTATATTACACTACCTGAGGCTTCATTTTAAAATACATCTGATGATATCGCAATGATTTATACATGGAGGAATTAGTACTAGAAAAAAATAATTTTCCTGAATTAAAATATTCAATACATAATGTTGCTAAGCTAATGGTTTGCTTTTTTGATATGTGTCTTGATTGACATGCTAAATTAAAACCTCAAATACCAACATAAATATACTATGCCATTTTATAACCAGTAGTATTAAACAGACTGTTATCATATATTTAGATCATAACTTAATAAAAGTGAATTTTTTACTAGTTAATGTAATATACATACATACACTAATGTTGCTAAATATTTGTGTATGTTTATGAAACATTGAAGACAATATTTTTTACTTATTAAATACTACTGCTAAATGTACGTATGTGTAGGCAAAAAAAAACATATCACTCTGATTCAAACAAGTATAAGGCTTTATGTCTTTATGAACAGTAAACTTTGCTTGAGTATCAAAATGGGCAAAATATTATTAACCCCAATTACTAAAATGATTTAACATTGGCAAAACTGGCCTAAATGCTTTTTTTTTTTGGTTTATTTATTATGTCAAGTTCAAATTCATATTTTCAATTAGAGCATTTGTGTAGTGGGTGCTATGTAATTGAGTAATATAATAATATTTCTTTATTTTTTGTAAAGTATTATTTGCCAGATTTTTTTAAATACATACCACCTTGCCGATCAAATTAAAGGGCAATTGATAGATATTTTATCTTTGAAAAATATACATTTTTTTGTGTTACCTTTTTAATTCATACGTATGTTTATGTGTTAAGACAGAGCTTCTGTCTACACAAATACACATTCATACAGAGAAAATGTTCTGTTCACTAAACTTGCAATTGTACAGAATTGCAAAAAGCAGATTTTAGGCCAAAATAACCAACACATGTTTCTGAAGTTTACATATTTTTCCACATTTACTATTTTTACCTAGAATTTGAAATTCATTGTGCAGTAAATAATCCCCATTGTGCTTCTACAACAAAGAGAAAACAACTTAAAATTATTTCAAATGCAGTGATTTTATCTATTTAAATTCATTGAGATTTATTATACCTGGGCCCTTATTTAATTAGTTTGGATCAGCATCACACACGATCAGAATATGTAAAAATCAAAAGATTTACCTACAAAAATCTCCCATATGCATATTTATGGTGACTTATGTAGATGAATCATCTGAAAAGTTTTTTCTAAAAGATTATGATAATTTCTGATGATTCAAAATAAATGAATTGAGGCACTTGTCCTTAAATCTTTTTCACACAACAATAAGTTGAGGTAAAATGAAAACTGAATTGCAAATTTGCAAATTTTATGATTGAATAGTTGTATTGGAAAACATTTGCAATTTGCTAAATTTCGGTATTCGGTTTTCAATTCAGCAAAAGATACCATTTTTTTGAGTAAAGCTAGGAGACATTTTAGCATTCTCTATAATCCATCAATGTCTCTTATTTAAACTTAAAAAAAATGAGTGATCATTGATATGTTCCTCTTGAAAAGGTCATAATCGAGTAGCTGCAAAACCATGAGAAAAGTTAGTTCTGGAATCCTAAAGTAAGGGTTAAAAAAGACTGTGCAAATACCTTAAACGATTACATTGTGCCTTTTCAATATACGTTTTAGTGTATGTATAATAAATATGTGTATATATATATATATATACCAAAAGTTGTTGTGAAGAAAAAGTGTGGATGTAAACCTCTTCACCCTGAAGTAAGTGGTAGGCATACGCCTACCCAGAATCCCTTGCAGTAGTGAGAGCACTGTTAAAGTGAGATTTCTGTGGGAAAAGCACGTCTTATGGCTTGACTGGTGTGTGTGTGTTTGTGTTTTAGCAATGTATTATATATATATATATATGTATATGTATATATATATATATATATATATATATATGCACACACACAAACACTATGAATTCCAGTAATGGATTAACTAAACTGATTGATTAGTATAAAGAGTGATTTCAGTCAAAACATGTTGGTCATAAATTTAAAATGATCTGGAAAGTGTGGTGCATGTATCATTTAGTACTACTAATAATACTACTGCTATTACTAATATAATAATAATAATAATAATAATAATAATAATATCAAGGTATTTAATAAGGAAGTAGATTTTGATTTTGCCAGTTTTCAAGTACAAGTATCTTCTAGATGTTATCAGAATCTAAAACACTTGTTTAGCTTAAAATTGTCACTGAGATCATAGCATTTTACTAACATATGCAGTTTCTCTATTTACAGTAATTAACTGTCCATATCTAAATATTTAACACAATAGTTAACACCCTGTAAACTATAAACTGTTAATATAGTAAACTGGATATGTTTCTATCCCTATGTACTTAACCAACATGCTATTGATTTGCTATATCAGCCTTGGAAAACAAAATTACTCGTGCTTGCTCCACTGCTCATACTAAATGTTAACCATAGTATCAGACATTGTTGTCCTCTTTTCAACTATATATAAACCGTCAGTTTCCTTAAGACATAGGCAATATGGCAAATGGGAATTTTCCTCTTTAAATACTGGAAGCTATTCCCAGTGCAAAAGACAGAACATGAACAGATAAGTTAGTTAGTTATTGAGGTGGAGTTGATGGTTTAATTGCAGGCTCCCGATTTAGATACGTTGCCCAATAGACCAAGTTAAAGGTTCCAAAAAGGAGAGGAAATGCTATTCTTGATAGCCGGTCAATCTTGCTGACACTGTTGAATGTTTTCTTGGGTTCTGCTGGCTTTGGTTTTGGTTCAATTTCTTTTGGTTCTATAGTTGCACTTTTGGCAATGGTTGCAAGACCAGGATCTCGGGCTATGGGTGGGTAATTAGCTGTTGCTGAAGCATATGTGTTGTTCTTCTTAATGAGTGGGTCCTTTAACTTTTTAGGCTAAAAAAAAAAGAGAACACACATTATTCATCTGAAAGGCACTGAGACATATCAGCCATCATGTTGCATTATCCTATTATTTTGCAATTTTGTATGAATGACCTAACACAAGTACATGCTCACTGATTTGTAAAAAGAATCACTATATTGTTTTACACACATGCAAACTTTAACTATACACAGATTTATACAAAAATAAGAACCACTTGCCCAAGTAAATGGGAGTTGCCCACTGTTTGTGCAAGGAGCAATACGAGAATTCCTGTAAAAAAAATAAAATAAAAAAAGAAGATTCTGGGAAATGCAAGATGTTTTCTACTCCATGAATGTTGCAGTTACCTGTATTTTATGTGTCAAACACAGTTTTATACAGAAAGAACCAGACACACAGACAATATTAAAGAGGGTTATTGTAACGGACCGTTTTGCACACAAGGGGTAAAAACCGTTTAGGCGAACGTCCCCCTTTCCAGAGATACAGGCACAGCTACTGTAGAACACCAATCCGCCGAACAGGAAACCATATGAATGCCGTAAGCAGCCGAATAGGAAAAACCATCTGAATAGGTTTACACTCCTAGCAGTCAAACTGGAACAGCATACAATAAATCCCCCCAAGAACGAGACAAAGCTCCGTGTTGAGGGTCAAGCAGTGAACAGACAGAGCTGTGGGTTTATTGTGCTTATGTACACATTCTTACACATTCGTACCACTCACAGGGTTTTGGAACACAACCAATAAACACATACAATACACTCAGACACTCCCACACAAATTCCTCCCCTCTGCATGTGATTCAATTACCTGACACAATGGGTAATGTAATTTAGCACAAGCAGAGAAATACAATTTTTCCACATTATTCATAACTTGAAAAGTATGCATCACATTCACATAAATTTACATTTACAGTATGCATCACATTCACATAAATCACTTACATTTTCAGAATCAGCATACTCCAAATACAAACATACGTCAAAATCATACAAATTGGTCCAGTGGTTCAAAAGATAGATCGTAGTCCTTTATGACCACAGGAAGCATGGCTTTTATGCCCAAAACCAGTTCCACAGAGTCTTCTATCCTGGAGATAATTAGAAGTAATCCAATTATCTCCAAAGACAGAGGCAAAACTCCATTGAACACATGGCAGCAAAAAGACAGTAAAATACAATAAAATACACAAGGTTACATTTATGACATAAAATACAGACATGCAACATATGCCCGATAGCTTAGGTCTAAGCGCACATTATTACTGAATGGCGCTCAGAGCACACACATACAGTTCAATTGCCATGGAGCCAAAGTCTTTCCCATAGTCTTTCATTATAGGAATGGGCTCCATGGCATAGCTATTTGGGGTATCACTGCTCAAACAGGGCAAGCACCAAATGACCCGGCTTTCTTGTCTTTGCAGGGGAAAATCAAGCCTTTTAACATGGGGCCATAATCCCAAGGCAACAGGCGAGCAACCCAGCTTCTCCAATGCAATGTGGCGAGATTGGTCTTGTCACAGTTCTGTATTATCATATAATATGTTGCCCTTATTTCATTTGTGCCTGATTCTGTCTGCCTACTATTATGTAAGAGTTTGCATATTCTAGAATGTGGTAATCCAGCAGAGTAAAACCAGAAGCAGAAGAAAAACAAAGTCTAATTCTGTACAAATGTACAGACAAACATTCCTGGTACAGTAATGGTACCATGAAAAGGAAAAAGCCATTACTGGAGTTAGGGTCATATAAGGTATGGAAACTTGCTTGGTAAAGGAAGCAACCCTAGCTGCTTTATGAGAAGCAGTTTATTTACGAGAAGCATGAGCCCAATTAGTATGTCTGCAGGTAGAGCAGATTCTCTACTTAGTTCTATAACTGAATATTTAATATGATAACTTAATTCAAGAGACATATGATGTAGAGTTACGGGGCATAATTGATATCAATTTAGTGAAGATAAGAAATTGTTAAGTTAAAAGTAGATAAGCCTGTGGATTGCATGTATAAAAAAATATTAAGGGATAAATTGTGAGATTATAGTACCATTAGTTGAAATTCCTGGTACATCAATGGTACCATGAACAGGGAAAAAGCCATTACTGGAGTAAAGGGTCATATAAGGTTTTAAGACTTGCTTGGTAAGGGAAGCAACCCTAACTTCTTTACGAGAAGCATGAGTCATATTAGTATGTTTGCAGGTAGAGCAGATTCTCTGCTTAGTTCTATAACTGAATATTAAATATGAGAACTTAATTCAAGAGACATATAATGTAGAGTTACGGGGAATAATTTATATCAATTTAGTGAAGATAAGAAATTACTAAGTTAAAAGTAGATAAGCCTATGAATTGCATGTATAAAAAAATATCAAGAGAGAAGTTGTGCGATTATAGTACCACTAGTTGAAATTTTCAATAAAATGCTTATAATAGTCTTCAAGTAACTAGTGAATTGCACATGTTGCACCACTTCATAAAAGTCATAGTAAGTGCATGTTCAAGCCTGTGAGTGTTACATTCATAAAACTTAAACTAATGAAGACAATGATCACATTTCCAAAATCTAAAGTCCACATGAGTGGCGGGTGTGGGATATTAATTGAATCATTTAGGATGACCTAATGCCTTCTAAGGGACCACCCGTTGGCAGCTGGCATGGGCAATTACTTTTATGATAACCGTAGGGGACCTAACATTCCTCTCCCACCCATGTGTTGTGTGTGGGGGATTAATTATACAAGGGATATGTAAATTTGGATCTCAAAAGTGGAGCATTTGTAGACCCTCATCTGATGGTTAAGGATGCCTAAGCACCTAGCCACCACTCAAATTAATAATAAGCATACCAAACCCCACAACCTAATATACTTATCATCATAACTCTTATTTTACCTAACGTTATCTTTTTGTCTGCCCCATAAAAGCCCCGCCACAATAATTTTTAATGTTACTACAATAAATAAAAAAACAAAACAAGTAAAATATAAAAAAGTCTCATCAAAAAGAAATACTAACAAGCCATTGAATGCTCTGCATATAAGCTTCAAAGTTGAAAAACATTCTACTGAACTTTCAAAGAGTGAGAAACCCTTAGAGAAGATTTTTCCTGCCTTGAAGTTTATTCTACATGGAACACTCGAGGGCCACTGTTGTTGCAGCATGTTTTGAAATGTTTCATCAAGTTGTCAATCTTGTCTTTTTTTAATTTTCAGTCTTAATGTTGGGAATCGTTTTGTTGTTTTTTTTCCATTTTGTGGGGCTGAAGAAAAGAAAATGGAAGAAGATGTCTGATAGTGAGTATATATTTTTTTGCCCCCTCTTTATTATTATTAAGTTGAGGGCAGTAGGTAGAAACATTTTCAATTGTGTGGGTTGCTAGGGACATGGGTACCCCTAGCTATTGGGCATTTATATTAAATAGTAGCCCCTACACAATGCCCACTGCAAAAATCAAGTGAATGAAAATGTGCTAATGTGCATCCTGTGGATGGATACTGTCTCTATTTAATGTAAAATCAGTATGTAATGGCACCCCGGGTATAGAAGGGGTTAACGCCGCCAAAGATGTTCCCTTTCCCGAATGAGAAGTCAGCTACCAAACACTCCTAAGTGCCGAACAGGAAACACACGAATAATCCCTCCAAGTATGAGACAAGGCTTT